TTCTCTGTCTAACAGTTTTAATTTGGTTAGCTATGGTAGCTATTATAATACCTTTACTTTCCACATTTAGTTTGTGTGATTTGTGTTCAGTGTGAGTAAAACTTCAGCATTCTGCATTTCTTTTTAAAACTTTGAATATTTCAGCCTAGTACAAACATTTACAGAAACTCTGACAGACCTCTCCACCCCCTTTCCTGATCACCCTGCTCCCAAGCAGAAAAGACTTCATGTTGAATATATTTGCTTCATTTCAGCATTAGGGCAAATCTAGTGATCTGTTTTAGTTTAAAAGTTGTTGTCTTACCTTACATACATTTAAGATTGTACAGCAAAAGGAAAGTTGGGTTAAAAATAATAATTATTCTACCACTTATTTTTCATTGTTTAGATGTTAATTTATTTGAATTTTAAGTTTAGGCTAGCATTTTCAATTTTGAAGCTTAAAATCATGCTAATGTAAATATGAATCATTGGTCACTGCTGTCTTTCAATCTTCAGCCTTTGGCTGTAACTCCTCAAGGCCTGCATCCTGATATCAGATTTAAAAAAAGTTGTCAAACATTCTATATTTTCTAACTAAAGTAAGGCCAATGTGGCAATTTTACTCTCCCTAATTACTAATGACATTGCAAGTTTGTGCTAGTTCAGCATGGAGTAGGTGGGAGGTGAAAATTAGGTGACTTCTGGGGCAGGTGGTCAAAGAAAGAAAGAGATAAAGGGAACACTGTGTTGCAGTTCCATGATATCTGTGTCACTGGAGAAAGGCACACTTCTATACTTTGAGGAATACAGCTGAAGTCTTAAGAAAAAAATCCAGTCCTCCCTGCAACTGGTGCATTTTAGTTAGGTAGCTTCAAACTATAAAGAAGTGCTACTCATTTTAGTTACTTGTTGAGAACAGATGTTTCAAGGTGTAACTGGCTGTATTCAAGCTGTTACATGTGACTGAATCTTTGAAATAGCAACATTTTACATACCTGCTTTGGCCTCAAAAGGTACTTTTTAATGCAGTTTAGAAGTGTTCTGCTGCTAGCATGGTTTTATGATTTCAGCACGGTTTTATTTTTGGCTCTCTAGATTGAAGCTTTGGAGAAGATGAATGAAGATCACGTGCAGAATCATGGAAAGAAACTGTCAACATTTTCCAGTGATGGAGACCCACCTATATATGATGAATAGCACTGAGTTTATAGCTGCTGACGAAACAAAACACAAATTTACTGCTTCTGACTATGTTGGTGCAGTGATAAATGTCAACTGCCAGTGTCAAGAGAGTGGTTGGCTGAGAATACCAAAATGGAAAACACAGCAAGCATAATGGTGATGCCTCAGTGGTTTGCTTTTTTTTAACTTGTCCCACACATCAGGCTGGCACTGTGAGAATGGACTGTCACTACCACTTTGAACAGACTGACAAATTCACCAATTGCCCAGTTACATTAGACTAATGTAGCTCAGATGGTCATATTTTGCATGATTCAGAGCTTACATATCTTTTAGTCTAAAAAAAAAATTAAAAAGCATCTATATTGTCCAAAGTATTTAGTGGGAAAGAAACCACACTAGAAGAGTCCCTCTTTTTTTTTCCTAATGCAACTTGAAAAACTAATCAAACATTTTGTATGGACACAATGTCTTTCATCCATCTCCACCAAGGGCAAAATGACAAGGCAAACTCTGCACTGCAGTCATATGAAAATGTTAACTTAGCAAAGTAACGTACTTATAAACGCAAAAGTCTGTACTTTTTCATTTGAAGTACAGGGGGGAATGTGGCTCTAATTATCTCTGTAAATAGTGTTGGTTATTACATGGGAAACAGATTTTAATCCAACCAGAAGAGGGCTTCCTTGGTGACATGCCAGCAAATCCTGAGTCAATGATGTATAATAAAGAGTCAGTTCAGGTAGCTTCACTCTTAATACACAAATGGTTTCAAGAACTTGGTGCAAGCCAAAAATAAACCTATAATAATACTGTCTCTACCTACAATATCAGTTTGGAGCATCAAATTTTCTTGCCCTAAAGATAATCACAGACAAATCTGAGTATTCTTTTTGTACCTGTAAGCAAAAGAAGCTCTGTTTAGAAATGGTGTCTGATACTGGTTTCCGTTTCCACAGTCTATTTATTCTTAATGTCAGTCTGTCATTTTTTTTTTTTTTTTCCCCAGCAACTTCTAAATTCTAAATAGTGATGTTTCTCTCCAAAAAGCACATTTAAAGATGAACTGATGTGGTGGGATAGTTTGGAATTAAGGAATTCTAATCAACTTCTTTTTAACTGGTTTCTACTTTCTGATGCTGCTCTTTATCAAGCAGACTATAGTGATGCTACATGTGACCTTCTCACAGTGTGCTGTGAAAGTGACTTTTTTATCTCTTTTTGTTGGAAAACTGGTGGTGAAGTAAAATCTTAAGATCTTGTGGTGGTATTCTTGCATGGTTCTTTGCATCATGGAGGCCTTCATTGATCTTTGGTGCTTCACTAGAGCAGTCTCAGGGTAGGACTACACTAATTCCTTACAAGAATATAAAAATGACTGATTGGGTGGGTAGTACATGAACAGTAAACAACCTTGGTTTTGCCAGTTTCATCCCAACACTTGAATCCTCTTCCTTTTTCTAAAGCAGACAAGTATCTTGCATTTACCCCTTACTTTTGAAATAAAGGAACTTGTATCTTTTGGATACTTAAGTCTGTTTCGAATTTCCCAGTGAAACACTTTTCCAAAATAATGGTATCAGGGAAAGAATAGACTGAGTACTGCAAGGGAAGTGCTAACCTCTTCAGGAAGACTACAAGCTGGTGTTGTCAAAGATATCCAGATCTCCTTCAGAGGAGAGGGCTTTTTTTTTAAAAAAAAAAAAAGGATAGTCCTATTCTTGGCTTATAACTTGTTTTAATATTCTTAACATTCCTTAGGGGGGAAAAAATCTAAGAACAGTTGCTAATACCTTAAAATGTTCTTGTATAAGGAAGATTCTGTTGCTACAGCTATTTGCACCAAGTGAGAGGAAGAAGGCAGAAATAACAGGAAGTGAGGGGAGGGTGTTTTTTGAGCTACTGTTTGAAATACGCCCCTGTTTGTATCTCTGTGCATGGACCAAAGCCTCAGTTGTTACTGTAATTTTTAATTTCTTGCTAAAATCTGTCTAGCGCAACCTTAAAAAACCCAAACATGCCCCAAATAAATGCAACAATTTTCCTTGAGTCGAATTTAAAGCTACTGGGCCTAAACATGTATGATCTATTATATACTATATAATGTATTTTATATATGAATATATTTTATATATGAATATATTTTCACTTCCAGCAGTAAAATGGGCTCAGGAATTTGTTTTGAGATTTTAAAGATATCTGGGCATGTTTTCAATTCACTGAAAACAAGAATTTGCTAAAATAAGCATTTTCCTGGACTCCTTTGAAATAAAAGGTTCCAGGATTATTATTGGGCAAATAGAATCTTAGTTTTGAAATTGGCCATTAAGATTTATTTCTATCAGACAAGTATCAAGTTGTGTGTTTTATATACTCATCTGCTGCGTTCTCCTCAAAGATACCTCAGTTTCTATTACAGTTGTTGAAAGTCCATGCTGTTTTTTAGAGACGTAGGAGAATGGTAAATGTCAGTAGAATTTCTTAAATTTTCACCCTGGATTAATTAAACTTCTGGCGAACTAGCAATAAATTTTGTTACTTTGTAAAAAATTATAAAATTTAAGGTACTTTAAACGCTTTGGATATACTTGTCATCTCCAGTTAGCAGCATTGTTTGGTGATGCAAACCCTCAGAGGAGGGTTCTGCAAAACAAACAGCTGTTTGTAGTTCTCAGTTGTGACTTTAGCATCTCTAGTCTGATGTGAAATTTGTGCAGGTGGACTAACTGAGTCACAAATCATCTGACAGTTGTTTGCATGATACTGTGTTAGCATCTGGTACTAAAATTTTCTATTTCTCTCATACTAAACTGTGCTACTGTTTTAGTATTACTTTTTTTACATTGTTATGACCTTAGTCTTTTTCCCTCCCCCTTCTTTTTAATTTTTCCTTTCTAAACCAATAAGCAAATACATAAATTATATTCTCACACAATTTCTAGATCTAGGTGATGTAGGGCATACAGCTAGTGAGGTAAGGCTTTAGCCACTGCATTAACAAAAAAATTCCCATTGCTGTTTTGTTGTCCAAACTAAAATATATGTTCAGCAAAAATAATGAGGACCAAGCCAGATTTTTACTTCAATAATGCTTTATTAATGTTTTTTCCCTGAACTATTTTACAACAAGCCACTAAAAAGCAGTTTCCTGCTGAGGAGCAGGATCAATGCTGACAGTGATGATGCAGCAATTGTGGACAAATAAAGACAGATCTTGGAAGCAGTTGTTTCCTTTTTTTCTCCACATGAAAGTTTTGGGTTTGTTTTTGGTTGGTTTGTTTTAAAATCACTATAAAAGATTGGGCCAAAAGCCCCATTCTGCTGCTGTGGCCTCCACACTTGGTTAAGAAAGACAGCGTTTTTGCTTGCCTAACTATTTTAAAGCCCACTAGCTTTGCTTTTAAAAGCAGAATAAATCCTCCCAGCTAGAGTGGTGCCCTGATAAGTGACCCCGGTTAGAGTCAGAGCTTATCCTGGCACCTTAATTCCCTTATTTCCATCCCCTAATATATCCGAAATATTTGCGACGTGGTCCCTCATTGTAACTCTGTACTCATCGCACGCGTTTCGCTTTTACCACCTTGCCAGCATTCACACCTTTCCTGCAGCAGATTTTGCAGCTTCCCGGGTTTCCGCTTTCATTTGCTAAGCTCATCGATAGCTCCGATACGTTTGCGCTCAGAACAGCCGGACACATTCCTGCTCCCGGTCTCTCCCAGCAGGCCCTTTCCAGCAGGGATCTGCTCTCCCGGGCCGCTGCGCCTTTAAGGCGGGAGCGTGCGCGTCGCGCGCGAGGGGAGTGTAAACAGGAAGCGGCCGCCCGGGCGCGGGGGCTCGGCAATGGCCGCCGCCGCGAGCCGCGAGCCGCCGGTGCCGGCTGAGGACGAGGCGCCGGCAGCGGCGGGAGCAGCGGCAGCAGGAGAAAGCGAGGGGCGAGCGAAGGGCGGCGCGGAGGGCGGCGGCTGCTACCTGGCGCTGTGCGCGCGGCCCGTGCACTTCGAGAAGGCGAACGCCGTGAACTGCGTGTTCTTCGACGAGGCCAACAAGCAGGTGGGGGCGGCGGGGCCCTCCCGCGGGCCGCAGCTGCGGGTCCCGGCCTGTGGGCTCAGCCCGGCCCGCTGCTGCTCGCTGTCTTGGCTTTGGTTCCCTGCGCGGCTTTGGTTTCCTCCCGTCCTTCGGCTGCAGGGCATGAGCACGGTTGTTCTCCTTCAGGAGCTGTCGTCGTGCTAGAGGCGGTAGATTTTGGCTTTTTTGTTTTGTTTTCCTTTACACACTTACTAGGTTGGATTTCACCCGCCTTACTTTCACTGCCGTAAGGTCTTTCTGGAATTCATCGGAGTCAGCACTTTTCCCTTTCTGTTCTAAGTGTCCCCACATGACTGGCAAACTTTGTCACTTTGCTGTTAGCTTAAGTTCCCTGAATTTTTCACACCCCTTTCAATTCCTGAAACTCAATAAATTCATTAAAAAATGAATAATTACAGCTTTCCTTGTGCCACATCCCCAAGTGGCCTTTTTTTTGGCTTTAGTGTTTTAAAGCAGATTCTCCTTAATATCTGTATGGGCTCCTGAGAGTTCAGCTCAGTAGAGCAAAAAGATCCACAGGCTGTCGTGAGGCTTGTGGATACATTCCATTGTCTAATTCCTGTAACAGTTCTTTTACCTCAGCATTCATGGAGTCAGAACCTTCAAGCTTTCTTCCCCATATAGCTGGCATACATTACCCTGTGTGTGGAGCTGATCGGTGGCATGTTTGGAGGGGGAGCAGTATCTCTGGGGTGTGTTTCTTGCTATTGCACTCTGTTGAGAATGTTTACAGACTCATTTAGGTTGGAAAAGGCCTCTGAGGTCATTGAGTCCAACCTTTCACTGAACATCAGCTTGTCAACTGGACCAGTGCACTGAGTGCCGCATCCAGTCTTTCCTTAAACACCTCCAGGCATGGTAACTCCACCACCTCCCTGGGCAGTCTGTTCCAGTGTCTAATCACCCTTTCGGGGAAGAAATTCTTCCTAATGTCCACCTTAAACCTCTCCCAGTGCAGCTTGAAGTGATATCTTCTGGTTCTATCGCTTGTTGCCAGGAGGAGAGGCCAACACCCAGCTGGCTACAGCCTCCTTTCAGGTGGTTGTAGGGAGTGGTAAAGTCACCCCTGAGCCTCCTTTTCTCCAGGCAAAACAAACCCAGCTCCCACACGTGCTCTTTACAGGACTTGTGCTCCATACCCTTCCCCAGCTCCGTTGCCCTTCTCTGGACGTGTTCCAGCCCCTCAATGTCCTTCCTGAACTGAGGGGCCTGGAACTGGGCACAGCACTCGAGGTGTGGCCTCACCAGTGCCAAGTGATAATCACTGCTGTGCTCCTGCTGGCCACGGTACTGATGATACAGGCCAGGATTCCATTGGCCACCTGGGCACATGCTGACTCTTGTTCAGCTGCTGTCATCCAGCGCCTCCAGGTCCTTTTCCACTGGGCCACTTTCCAGGTATTTCTGCTTATAAGCCATTACCTTTGAGGGCCCATTGAAATACCCTGTCAGGAGACACTGTATCATAGTGTGGATGTGATATAACTACATAGAAGCTGGTTGTTGAGAGCTCACTTGAAAGATACATATTTTCCAGTGTAAATTTATTTCTCTGTGTTTTCTTCTTATCTAAAAGAGTTTGATTTCCAGTGTGTGTCTCTGAATCATTTGTAACCAGAATTTCAATGACATTTTCGCATGTGAGAGACCTGTTCATGCAATCTTCTTATCTTGCAGAGATTAAGAGAGTGATGCCTTCATTTTATATCTCCATAATACTAAAAATAGTTAAACTAAATAGCTATCATTCTAGTAAGGCTGTGGACTTGCTTGCAGTATATAGCATCTGTATTTCCTGCCTGAGCATAGCAGACTGGCAGCATGGCTGATATTACAGAACTACGTCCCTGTCACCCTGAGCCCTATCTTGGTGTGCCTAGTGCTGCTTCATGTACAAGTACCAATGAGGCATTTTCCTGACTTTCTTTTTCTAAGCTAGGTAAAGTTTGTGTACACGTATATGTGAAGTTGGGCTAAAGGAATTCTCAGTTGCTAGGGCATGTTGGCTGAAACTCCTTAGATACATAAAAATCTAGAGGTTACTGTTAAACTTTTTCTATTTAATAATATGTTCTGACAGGATCAAGCTTCTAGTTCATTGAGTTACATCTCTTCCCAGTCCCCAAGCTGAGTTCCTTTTTGTTTTAAACAATGCCCTGATGTTTTAGATACTTTTACTAGTACATAACTTAGGAAAATAAAAAGGAAACAAAACCAAGATAAAGGCTTATAAAGATTTTTACTGATTTAACTTGCTCAGTAGTTCAGAGTATGCCTACAAGACTGTTGCAGTACCAACTGCAATCAATCAACTCTATGCAATCTGACAACTCTAAGAAAACTTCAAATTCCAGATTATTTCAGTGTGAACTGGCAGATCCACGGAACAAAAATGTGTCTAGTAAGAAGATTAAAAGATGTGGCTTTTAGAAGAGGAAGCAGGTGAAAGTTATGATTTCAAAAGAGTTAAATATATGTTCAAAACGTTTTCTAGGTTTTTGCTGTTCGATCTGGTGGAGCTACAGGAGTTGTTGTTAAAGGTTTGGAGGATAGAAATCCCATTTCCTTCAGGTAAGGCACCTTTATCTTGGGATAGAATGATGCAATCTTCATATTCTGTGGTGTTTAGTCATGATCCACTGTAATTCATGCATAAAACTTACAAGTAGTGTTCATATTTTGATTTGTTCTTAGATATAATCTTTCAATTAAGAGGATATCCTTTTTCCCCTTATGGTCTTCTGGGGGAAAAAGTAATTAGGCTGTGGCTTCTTTTTTTTAAACAACAGTCTTTTATTAAAACACACTATACATATGAGAGCGATTCCTACAGCATGTAGGAACTGTCTGTTCTGAATCCTGCTGTATCCAGGAATACAGTTTAGCAAGTGATGTCTGTGATTCAAGCACAATGTCCAAACCTAGATGTAGGTTTCTCACATTCTGTTCCTTATTTCATCTGAATTGGCTTCTTCTATGTCTTCCATTTCTTGAGGAAACATTTTTTCTGAATTTGACAACAGTAAACTATTTTATATGTGTCACTGTTAAGAGTGATAGCTCTTTGTACTCTGCTGTGCATATGTAAGGAAGTATTCATTTATTCCATATCAATCCAAATATGGATGAAGCAATTTGTAATCAAGATGTGTTTATTGTAATCTCTTGGATATTGCATAGGGCCTGTCCTGAAAATTTCTGGGTTTATTTTACTTTTTTTATTTGATTACACTTGTCAGTCCCGAAAGAGCTGGAAATACTTAGTAAACTTCCTGATGTTCCACTATTTTCATACTTGACTGTCTCTCTTTGGCCTAACTTAATAACGTATGCTGGAGGAACTATATACCTTATTCATGCCAATTGTGCTGATGCTTGTTTGGTAAGAATACTTTTTTTATTTATTTTAATGGTGTGAAGACAGCCTCACACTCCTTTTAACGTCAAAAGTTTTTCCAGAGGCTGTGTCCTAGTGGGAAAGCTTGTGGGAAAGGAGGTCTGTGTCACCTAGCAGTAGTTTTGGAAGTAATGGAGCAGATTCCAGGATGCTGGTGTCACAGAACTGAGGATGCAGGTTTGGATAGCCCCACAGGTCTTCCAGTTCCACATCACAGGCCAACAGAGCTGAGCATTTGCAGTGATTTCAGGTGTTAATTCATGTGACCTTAGCCGTGATTCTGTAATTGATGTGCTCAGGACTTCTGAGCTGCCATTTTTTGTCAGTCTGGGTTTTGAATATATTAAAATACATTAATATATTTTATATTTTTATATTAATATATTAAATATATTGTATTAGGCAAGAGTAATAATCTGTATTCAAAAGCATTTGCATTACACTTTTTTACTCTGTCATTGTCTTTTTTTAGGGTATATTCTTTAAGAAACTATATTTCCATAACTTCTGTTTCTCCATAGGATGGAGGACAAAGGAGAAGTGAAGTGCATTAAATTTTCCTTGGGGAACAAAATCCTGGCTGTGCAGAGAACTTTGAAGAGTGTGGTAAGAAACCTACACCCTGTATCTAGGGGACTGGAGCTGGAACTCTACTTCCAGAGTAAAATTCTTTGAGACAAATGTTCAAGTATGTTGGCTAGCAACAGCTGTAGTGAAAATTCCTCCATCATCCTGAGAGGCTGGTCAGACAGTGTTGTTGTCTTGCTAGCATCATTTAAAGAAAAAGTGTAAGGGGGAACCAACTCTGGCAAGGGTGAGGTGGAACATAAGTTTTTCTTAGGTCTATATATTTAATGCAAAACAATTTGATAAACTGATGTCTATTCTTTGATATCTATGCATGTGTCTTGTCTGTGCTTCATCATTGCTAATATACTTAATGGGTGTTTTTGCAGGATTTTTTGAATTTTATTCCAGATAGCCCTCAGCTGGAATATACACAGGAATGTAAGGTGAGTTAAATGTCCCAAGCTTATATGCTTAAGTGAAACTTTTGTTAGTCTGGTGACTACAAGAGAACTAATTGAGGTACCTTTCAAAACACTAAATGAGAAATGAGATATGTAGGCACTACTGTCTATTGAAATTGAGGGAACAAACAGGTATTAACAATACCAGAAAAAACTTCCCTGTCTTGTGAATGTAATTGTTTCCTAGAGGGAGCAGAAATATTGTGGGGGTAACAAACATTAAGGTTTGGTAAGGAGAAGAGATGAATGCTGATGATACAGAAACGGTGGGCAGTGATTATATTAATGCCAGATATGTTAATGTGGATGTTCTTTCTTAATGTCACTAATCAGAAATAGGAAGCTATTACTAGTTTTCATATTATGTTTGCTATTTTTTAATAATCCTTCTAATTTTTGAAGATTATTTACCAGGAACAAGTACCATTGTCATTGTTTGGTATTTTCCAGCTTTTAACTAAAACAAATTACATTTTCGCATAATAGAATGCTAAAGAAAATTTTTATATATTTGATTTGCACAGTTCCTTTTATCCCTGTAGTCTTTAAAGCTGAAACACTGTCTGCTTCCTTATTTAGGATTATGAGTTTAAGTAAACCATTCTAGCAAAACCTTTATGGTAATGAAACTTCTGCATGTAAGAATAGTAGATTCTGAGTGAAGTCATGGCAAATTTTTCCACTTAGTTTTTAGTTTCTCTCAACATCTTTTCCTGCTTTTCATGTCAGGAACTGCTTGAATTGGCAGTAGAGTTTGAAGCAGAGGAACTTAGTTTTATCTAAGGTGAAAATAAAATTTGATTGTATAATAAACTTGTGAATCTTACATGCTGCCAAAAATCCAGGTCATACAGTAATTATGTTCATATGTAGTTTGGGAATGCTTTATAAAAGTGACTGATGCATGTTGGGTGTCTAGTTGGCCAAAAGTATTAACTCCAGAGATTGGGTACCTAAATTGCCTTTGGTCTCATGTTCTTCGTTTAGTAATATAAGCTTACGTGAATAGTTAATTTTTCCAAGTAAAAGAGTGTTTATTTGCTTGTTTGTTAAAAGACAAAGAATGCCAATATTCTAGGATTCTGCTGGACAAGTTCTACAGAAATTGTCTTCATCACAGATCAAGGAATTGAATTCTACCAGGTAATAAAAATAATTCCCATAGGACATGCCTAGAGATTTGGAAATGTAAATTTTTAATAGCATGTTTGAATTCTTTTCTTGTTTCTGTAACTGAAAAGTATACTGCTAAAAAAACAATTTCTGCCATTTGGTTTGCAGACTACGGTTTTTAATTTTTTTTTAGGAAGAATGCATACTTAGGGCAGGGTAAATTTATCATTTACAGGTTTTAAGAGCTGGTATAAAGGAGTACTCACTAAGCCATGGGAACTCTAGATTAAGAGATGGTTGTGGCCTGTATGGAAATGAGTATTTAAATCTAATGTGAAATACCACTTCATGCAAAACAAATCAGCTTTGGGGAAGATGTGTAAATGCTTAAAAGATGGCAAAGAACTAATAATTGACTAGGTAGTACCCTTCTGCAACTTGCAGCTTTCTCCTGTATTGAGCTCATTGAGTTCTTCTGTGTAATGTGTAATTTCCTTTGCATATGTTTTTAAAGATGTCTGATGAATAAATAATCCTTTCTAATATTCATGATGAGGGATATTTAAACACTTTCTAAAAAAAAAGTTGTGCACTTCCCAATAGTTTAGTCCTGGAGCTAAGACACAATGTTTCTCATAATTACTGCTACTAATAACTAGTACTTAAAGAAAGTAAATGAAAAAGCAGCATTATTTCCTGCTGGTTGAGGGGGAAAATATATATATATATATATATATCTGTAAGAAGAACTTTTAATAAAACTTCAGTAGTTTTATCAAGCTAGATACTTTCTCCACTGTGCAGAGAACTTGTACCCTTATAGATCTGGATGAGTGGGAAAACACAGCAACTTAGAGTTCATTAGGAATTGATGTGTATTATATCCTCAGCTATAGTAAAGTGGGGCCTCAGCTGTAATTGTCAGGTTTCTGATTTTTAATTCTAGCATGGTAAATATCTTTACACACAACTGCTTCTTGCTTAACATTCCTTGCTCCAGTGCACTACCATTTATGCTGTTGGAATCCTGGTGGTAATCTAATGCTAATATTCTGTCTGTCCAGGTATTGCCAGAGAAACGAAGTTTAAAGCTTCTGAAGAATCAGAGTATTAATGTTAATTGGTACATGTATTGTCCAGAGAGCTCTGTTATTCTTCTTTCAACCACTGTCCTTGGCAATGTCCTGCAGCCATTTTATTTCAAGGTAAAGGGATGTGTTTCAAACTTGTCATTTTATTTTTTTCCTAAACTGATGAATTTGGATGAATATTCTTGAATTGTTTGAATTTCTTCCAAGAGGTTCTTGTGCTTACATCCTTGTATGAAAATAAGCAAATCTATAAGTAGCTCCTAGGTGATGGCTTAAAATTAGGTAATTCACTCTTTCTTACATGCTCTTTGGAAAGATGTGTGTCCAGACAAGGCTGGACAGTTGAACTTGAGAAAGGAAAGAAAAAAATTGGTGGTGACTAAATATTTTACAACATAAATGTCTTTAAAGATTTTTTTTTTTACTTAAATAGGTATTTATGATTTACTTTTACTATGAACATTTGTTCTCTGTAGCATGATAAAGGAAAAATAAGGGCCTTTCTCTTGTGATTATAATTATAACCTTCCAAATATTGGATTAAAAAGAAATAAAGAAAAATGGTAGCACTTAAGAAACGACTGTTGTCCCAAACCAGAGAGGGCTTTGTCTACAGTAATTATTTCTTTTGTTTTTTTCCCTATGGGCAATATTTATTGTTACTGGGAAAATATTTTTCTTTTTATCTTGGAAAAAGTATGTAGTGAAAACCAGAATCTATGTTCAGTTAATCATGCAGTCAGGTGATTTTACAAATGAGGAAAAGAACTACAGCATTTGTCTTGCTCCTGCCAATGGATTAGGAAAACTTGTCTGGTAGTTTAAGGGAAGAGATTAAAAAGCATCTTATTCACATGGGTTTCCTGGTTTGTGTTAATCTTGTGTAGGGTCTGTACTGCATCCTGAAATGACATTCCCTTAAGTGGCTGGGAGGAAACTACTGGCCTTTCACAGTTTCCTTTCTAACAACTTAGGTTACGGTTCCCCATCCTTCACATTTTGTGTCAAGTGGTAGCTTGAAGCTAAATAATTTTTATCTTGTGTTCAGAAGTTAATATTTAAAGACCTACTGAGAAAGGTCCTGTATATAGGTGATATTTGAAAATAGAGATCCAGCAAAGGAAATAGTTCTGTAGTATTCACACTTCACACTGAAGAGCAAATCAGTAATAATAGGAAGTGAATTTCAGTAGAAGCTTTAGAAACTGTGAAAACTTGCTTAAATATAAATTCTATAGAAAAGAGGAAGATGAGAGAGGAAGCAGGGAAGGGCAGGGCAGGGAAGGAGACATGCTGTAAGTATAAGGCAGGAACTAGAGACTGTGACTGGTAGGTGGTAGTGATATTTTCTCCTTCCCAGGAAGCTGTTATTTAAGAGTTGGAGCATATACTTTTTTGGAATAAGAGAACTGCTGTTTGAGATCTCCAGACTACTTGTACATGGGATTTTCATACAAATTTGTCTTGAATGAATTAAAATAGAAATATTTTTGTAGCTGAAGTCATAAAATCAAGACAACAAAGCTGCTGAAGTTACAGAAGTATATATTAAGACTCACTTGGTGTTTTTTTTTTAGGAAAGAAAGTACAAAACCGTTTCTTTTGGACTATGACCACCCTTTGCCTCATGGGGGCACTGGTGATACAATGTTTGGGCAAAGGTGGCTCATCCTTCTCTATTTCAGGTCGTGACAGTTCTTGTTTTGCTGTTTAACAGAGTGGGACCATGTCAAAACTATCAAAATTTGAAATTGAGTTACCTGCAGCACCCAAGTCATCCAAGCTCAGCCTTTCTGAAAGAGATATTGCTATGGCTACAATGTATGTATTTAACGAATCAGGTCTTTCTTGGGAAGCTGTGATGGTTTGGGAATGCTGGGAAAAGACAAGGACATTACAATGGTGGCACTTGTTTCTTGTTTTAGCAGTGCTGTTGCGTTAAAGCACTTAAATGCCTTGGAAAGTGCTGTTCTTCAAAGCACTTTAGATGCCTTGAACAAAGCATCTAAACAACCCTCTTGGGGCAAGGTGGGGAGGGGAAGCAAATGGAGAAGTCTTACATGAAATTGTTCTGGATGACCACAGAAGTTTGGAGAATGTTTCATATTTTAGTTGATATTTTGATAAAGGAATCATTTACAGGTGCCAAACTCACATGACTACAGGCTATGCATTGTGATTTATCAAGTACTGTTTAATCTTTAATTTTCAATTAAATGATTACCTGACTTAGGTAATCTCATCTCTTAGGATAAAATGTTTGACTCTAAGAGACTGGTAGAACTCTTAATTGAAAATAATGCTTTAATCCTGTTGTCTTGTTAGATATGGGCAGCTTTATGTTCTCTACTTGAGGCATCACTCAAGGACTTCCAACAGTACAGGAGCAGAAGTAGTGCTTTATCACTTACCCAGGTAAAAGCTGAATGAAGAACATTAGTTGCAGTTCACATCTGTGTCTGTGTTGTGGTTTAACCCCAATTGGCAACTAAGTACCACCAGCTGCTTCCCCAAATCCCTGGTGGGAGGGGCAGGAGAAGCAGAAAAAGGTAAAACCCATAAGTTGAGATAAGAACAGTTTAATAAAATGAAATAAAGTAAAAACTAGTAGTAGTAATGAAAGGTGCATGGAGGAGAGAATAAAACCCATGAAAAGAAAGTGACACAATAACAATTGTTTGCTGCCCAGCCTGTCCCAAGCACTGATCTGACCCTCCTGGCCAGCTTCCCTCACTTTATATACTGAGCATGATGTCGTAGGGTATGAAATATCTCTTTGGCCAGTTCAGATCTGCTGTCCTGGCCCAGCTACTTGCACACCTGCTCACTGGCAGAGCACGGGAAACCAAAAAGTCCTTGACTTAAGAGTAAGCACTGTTTAGCAACAACTAAAACATCAGTGTTTTATCAGTGTTATTCTCATACTAAATCAAAAAAACAGCACTGTACCAGTTCCTAGGAAGAAAATAAACTTGAGTCCCAGCAAAACCAGGACAAAAAGACATATTTTATAGTCTAAACAGACTTGTTGACCAGTTTTCATTTCTCTTTGTTTCCATAGAGAGGGCTCCTGTAAGAAGACACATATTTTAAAGCTGAACAGAACTGGGAAGTTTGCACTGAATGTAGTGGATAACTTGGTGGTAGTACATCATCAGGATACTGAGGTCTGATTTATTTATATTGTGTTGTGCTGTAGCTTTGAGAAGTTAGGGGCAGGTAATAATAATAATTAAATAACCTAATAATTTAATTTAGAAATTATTTTTCTTTGGGCTTAGCTTGTCCAAAAGCCAGAGTATTTGCAGGAGCAAAACCATAACATTGTAAGAGATTCAAATTTATCCTTTTTTCCTGAAGGGCTAACACATCATCAGGGGTGCTGGTAATGCCTGCTTTTTTCTTACTCTGTTTTTGCTTCTTGTCAGTTTCTTATGATGCTTTGCTGCTACACTGTGTAGGCTTTTAAGGCATTATACAAAGAGGTAGAATTAAACTGGATACTAAATTATTAATCCTGAGAAATTTATCATATCACAAACATTTGAATGATAATGTTTCTGTGACACAAACTTATGCTTCTTTAGTCTGAAGGCCTGGCTCTCTAAAAACTTTTATGAACACAAACTTTCTTGTGCATCTGGTAACAAGTAAAACTTCTTGTCGGTAGTCCCAGCAGCAAGGCTTGGTCAGTGGTTTAGCTAAAGTGGTACTTTGCTCTTAACTTGTGAAAAGGCTTGGACTTCTTGTATTATCTTCTCTTTGACAGCTTCAAGAATTGGGGCACATTACCTCCTTAGGAGGATTAGTTGATGTTTCAGTTATATTTCATGTTAATTCTACACATTAGCATTTAACCCAGAGCACTTCCTCCTCAGCATTTCAGTCAAGCTATAAACATGACTATAGAAACCCAGAAAACATTACTCACTTTGCCTTTGGGAGACACCAGTAATTGACATTTCACTGGCACTAAAAGCAAAGCTGCTTTCCCTGGTGGTCTGTAATGGGTAAGAGTGTTAGTGACTTGAGTTGAACAAGACTGAATGGTGGGAGGATATCAGAGGAAGATAGACAATTTTCCTCTGAGTTTCTAGCATCCTTAACTATGTAGTCTCAAAGTCATGTGTTGCGCAAGACTGAGACTTTTTTCTAGGGCATGTAGTGACAATCCTAGGGACAGTGGTTTTAGACCAAAGAGAGATAGATTTAGATGGGATGCAAGGGAGGCAGCTTTTAACAGTGAGGGCAGTGAGACCCTGGAACAGGATGCCCCATCACTGAAAGGGTTTAATGCCAGGTTGGATGGGACCTTGAGCAGCCTGATCAGTGAAAAATGTCATAAACCCCAGTACATCCCTTCCAACCCAAATCATTCTTTGATTCTAACAGAGAATACAAGATGGAAATGTGAAAAGCAGGTCAAATGCATGTAAATGGATGGTGATTCATATTCATCAAAACTGACTTCCTCTTTTTAATTGCAGACTTCAGTTATATTTGACATCAAGCTAAAAGGAGAATTTGATGGGTCTACAACCATCCATCAGTTTGTACTTCCACCTCGATCAATACAACCCTATCAAATACCTGCAGCAGGTAGAACCACTATATAATGAATAACTTAACACTTAGCAAGAGTTCTTAAATGTAACAGCTCACATACAGGAGTGCTTCAGGTTTTAGGAGGCTGGTTACTAACACTTCAATTATACATATTTGAGAGGGTGAGGAAGGAAGAAGGTAAGAAGCAATTGAGCAGAAATTGGTGTTCCAAATATGTGCCAACCACAGAAGAGTTGCTGTTTGAGGTGTATGCTCCCTATAGTACTTTGCTTTTACACTTGAAAAATGGTGGGTTGGGAGAGTTTTTTGGCCATGGCTCTCAAAGCTTGTGGGTACTCAAAAGCACTTAATGCTTTTCTGGCTTAAGTCAGGACTATGAGACTTAGGAAGTCAGAGGCTGAAAGACAATACAAGCTCAGAATCAAGTTTGAGACCAGTTTAGAAATAATGCTACAATCAATGTTAGGACTTAAATGCTTAGATTTTTCTTGGATTACCTTTCTGTTCCCAGTCCCAGAAGTGTGGCAGGTAGTTACCCTCAAGCTGGGAGTATAGAAATAGCCTGAGCATAGTTTTCCTAGCAGGTGATAAAGCAGTGAGGTTCTCTTTGTAGAAGAGAAAGATGCTTCTATACAAAAAGATTGCACAAAGATTAAAAGCTCTAACATCTGATAGCAAGTATGATAACTCTACAGATGAAGATTTGTATTAAACAAAGGTTAGGATCAGAATGTACAAACCACTCTTCCATTTAAAGAGTATATATATAATTACAGCAAATGGAGTCTGTATTTAGAATTACAGTACTTGAGCTGGAATATTTCTGCATGATTTAATTTGGCTGAAAAACAGAACAATCATGTTTTGAAGGATTTGTTTGCCTTCTCAGTGTGAGATTTTCTTTGTAGATCTGGCTACACAAATGGATCTTTTTGACTAGTTGCTATAGTGTTAAAAAACATACTTAACTTTTTGGTATAAAATACTTGGTATGGGAGAGCTGCCAGAGTACTACTGTTCTTCACCTGATGTTATTTTTTCTGCAGGCCCAGCTTCTGTGACAAGTCAGGCTCCTGTTCCGTGTAAACTCTGTATCCTTTAAATCCTCTCAAAAAGAACCTCATTCTATGTGTCAAGCAGTGAAGAAGGTAGCATTTGTTACCTTGACTCCTTAACAGAGCAGTTTTAGCTGATTATGCACATGTACTTCAAGACAAAATAATATGCTTCATAATAGCCTCATAATGCTTGCACAGAGTTCTAAATACTGAAGTCTAGTTTAATACCACATTTCCTGATTATTTGAGATGTGTATGAAATTATGGGTACGCCATAAAATTGAAGGTATCATTCCAAGAACCTAGTTCAAAACCTAAGAAGTGACAGTAAATGAAATATGTTAATGGGATCTGCTTTTCTACAGTAACATAAATTCAGGAGCAAGAGTTTAGCATTAATGTTAATATAGATGTTAAAACCTTAACATTTAGATTCTTCTTCTTGGATTGTCTTTCAACCTGATATTATCATCAGTGCAAGTGAAGGTAAGTGGTGAGCTCTTGGACTAAACAATATTCAATATCAGGATGGCTAGTTTACATTTTCAGTGCACAAAGCAGCTTAAAACTGAAGTGACTTATTAGGTACATAATGCCAAGTTGATTGCTCTTGGTAGTGATACATGAGGATTAACTATCTCTACTACAACTTTTCAAGGATAATACTGCTCTAAAATATGGGCTTAGAAAGGCAAATAAACAATCTTGATGTGTTTTCATTTAAGGGTAGAAAAGTTGTATTGTCTAGGCTGTGCTGTACAAGGCAATTCACTTTGCTTACTCCTTCAAATCAAGGTTACCTCTGGAGTCTTCAGGTGAAACTTGAACCTGTAGTTAACCTCTTGCTAGATAAAGGAAAACTAATGGATTTCCTTCTCCAAAGAAAAGAATGCAAAATGGTTATCCTGTCTGTATGCTCTCAAAGTAAGTTCAAGTGTGTTTTCTGTATCTTGAAAGTACAATAATGGTTATTGAATAAATACTCACCCAAGTTAGTTTAGCTGTTCTTAGATTTGCGATCACCTCTGAAACTGCCTTGGTCCTTAGGATCTCATTTGCCTCAACTACTCTCAGTCACTATTCTGAAAGAATTTAACGGCATGAAAAATTCAACATTCCCCCCGCTTCAATTCAAATACACCTGACATGACTGAAATTTCTTAAAAGTTAAAAATTAGGTAGAGAATAGAGATCACCTTTTGAAAAAGGTAACATTCAGGTGCCTGGTTATTTCTCCTCATAGTTATTTCTTTTTATCTTTTCAGTGCTCAGTGAGCCAGAAAGAGGATCACTGTCTGTGATTGCAACTGTTTTTGACAAACTGAATCGTGAATATAAGAAGTACTTGGAAGCTGAGCAAAGCTATACGATGGTAAGCCATGTTAACTTTAGCAGCTTACATAGACAGGACAATGCTGTTTGCTTTTCAGGTGGCATCAAGGTGAAGGCATGCTCCTTTCTACTTAGGAAATTTGGGCTTACCCCAAAAGGTCCTGACTACCTCAGGCTCATAATTAAAAGTCTACTGTGAAAAATGCATTTGGACCTCCACCTGACACTTGTTTGGGAGTTGCTGCATAGCTTATCTCCAGAGTGATGAGTTAACATACCCCAGAGCTTGAAAGCAGAGAGAAGGCAGAAGCTGAAAAAGCAACTCTGAATCAGTAACTACTACCTTGATTTCCAAAGCACAGATTTCACTGCACACTGTATCATGGCATAAGAGGCAGTCCTGATACATCTCAGTTACTTTGTTAACGTACCAAATTCAAATGCTAACTCAGAGTATAGTCACATACTCAAAACTCTTCTAACCTGAGGGCCTGTGTCAGTGTAGTTAGTTAGATTCATCTCCTGGCTTTGAGGTATATAAGAGCAGCTGTATTTATGTAAGTTTAAAAAGTGGTTTTAAATTTAATATGAAAGCCCCACTGAACAAGATGCATCTAATATAATATGAGCACAGATATGAATTTCCTTGGTAACAGGTTTATAGTTGTGTTTGAAACAGAAAACACTGAGACTGACTCAGAACTGTACTAAACTACAGTTTTCTTTTTAAAATACTTCTTTTTTTTTTCTCCTAGGTGGTAGAAACAGGCCTGAGTAGAAGTAATCCACTCTTGAAACGTCCTGTCCGCACTCAAGCAGTTATTGACCAGTCTGATATGTACACACATGTTTTATCAGTTTTTACAGAGAAGAAGGTAAGTTAATTTTAAGGACTAATGAAATAAATTTAAGGGCTAATTTGGCAGCAGTCTCAGATCAGCTAACTTAAGTTGACAGCTTGAAATTGGCTGCAGGAAGCTTTGTCAGGATTAGGGTATTTTGATGCCTATTCTTACAGGGTTATTAACAGAAGTTCCATCTAACACTTTCTTCTTTGTCCAGGAAGCACCTCACAAATTCACTATAGCTGTTTTGATGGAATACATTCGCTCTCTCAACCAGTTCCAGATTGCAGTTCAGGTAAATCACTGATACGCTAAGTACATTGCCCCACTCTGTGAAATTACATGCAGTTTTAGTCCTGTTTTGGTCACATGTGTAAGTTCTATATAATATTGACTTTTAGATTGTAAAAGCATATATAGAGACATACCTTTGATTGTCTTCCTGCATTTACAGCACTACTTGTATGAGCTGGTCATTAAAACCCTTGTTCAACACAACTTGTTCTACATGCTCCATCAGTTTCTGCAGTACCATGTGCTCAGTGATTCAAAGCCCTTGGTATGTAAGACAAGTAGCTCCAATATACTAGTGAGGGAGGTGGGAAGCCTTCAGAATTTTAAGGTCATTTCTGCTTTTGCCTTAGGCTTGTCTCTTACTGTCCCTGGAAAGCATTTACCCTCCTGCACATCAGCTCTCACTGGACATGTTAAAAGTAAGCATTTCTGGCTCTTGTAAGTCCCTGTCCCATGTGGGTTAGACTGGTCAAACAGCTTCCCTGACCTTGAAGTCATTAACTAGCATCAATCATTTGCATGCATTAGAAACACTGTCTTACAGCTGTGATTGACTTCACAGAGACTTTCCACAGCAAATGATGAAATAGTGGAAGTTCTGTTGTCCAAACATCAAGTTTTGGCTGCCTTGAGATTCATCAGGGGTATTGGAGGACACGACAGCATTTCAGCCCGCAAATTCCTTGATGCAGCAAAACAAGCAGAGGATGAGATGCTTTTCTACACCATATTCCGATTCTTTGAACAAAGAAACCAGCGGTTACGAGGAAACCCCAGCTTCACACCAGGTAAGCAATAAGCAGTTTGACCAAGATACTTGTGCAAACACAGCTAAGACTTGTTTCACTTCCAGTCCAGTTGAGTCTATATTAGATGATAAAACTCTTGGCACATATTAGCCTGTATTTTATACTCACCTTTAAGCACATTTCTAAATTAATTTGTCTTACTCCTTTGTCTACTGCACTCAGGAGTAAAGAGGCTGAGCTAAATATAAACTTGCAGGTGAACCTGTTTAACTTGCAGTTGCTCCCACTGCTTAGCTTAGCAGAGCCATTATCTCACATTAGTGCTTTCTCTTGAAGTCAGCAACCAGATTGGGAAACCTTAGAGTTTAGTTGTCTATTTCCAGTAGTTACAAAAATTCAAGCCTTGTTTTATGTCCAGTTCTTCCTTTAAAAGCCAAACCAAACAGCTTGCACCAGCAATATGTTTGTAATCACCAGACTTTCTGTAGGCACAGAATCCTAACCCATGCTCTTGTATTTTGACAGTAAAGTCAAAATCCAATTCACATAGCTGTGAATCTTGCTGGTTAGATACATGAACTAGATCAAACATCTGCTTCACCTTGAGAATACCAGTCACAGGACTGGAAATACTTCAGTATTCCAATGCTTTCTGTCTGTTCAACTCTGGTACTCAAAGGCATTAAAGATAAAAATTAGTACAACTAAATGAAAGTAAGTGAAACTACACAATCTTGTGTTACACAATCTTGGTTTCCGAGTTGGAAAGTGAACATGAACTTTTATTTTGTATCCCTTAGGTGAGCACTGTGAAGAACATGTCACCTTCTTCAAACAAGTTTTTGGAGAACAAGCTCTTATGAAACCCACAACATTCTGAAAGACTCTTCCACTGAAATGTATAAACTTAATTTATTGCATTTAAGTAGATTTTTGAACTACAAAATTGCTATTTTATAATAAAGTATATACAAGACATTTTGGCAAATAGTACTAAAAATATTACAACTTGTGATGGCTTCCCCCTAAAAATAGAGACAAAAATTGCATTGACTTGCATTTAAAATTAGTGTCAGTGGTTTAGCAGTCCATTCTCATACACATCACCTCAATTTGACAAAATGGTATTCAACTCTCACTACAGCTGGTTTAGGTTTCTGGAGGAAAAAGATGCAACCTCTTGAAAACGGAAGTGTTTTAGTAGTCTTATTAACACATCTAGTTTTAGTAATACTGTTACTTGAGCCACACTTAGCATTTCCTGAGTTTAAAGCTATGTCCAAAGCTGCAGCTGGTATCTTCTAGTTGAATCTGTGCAGGAGTCAAGTCTGTGGTGGTTACAGTGTGATAGTCATAGAACATTGCTGCGCTTCACTTCTTAGGAGTTGGGCCTAAGCCGCAGTTCAAGCAGTCCACTGAACACTGTTAAAAACTAGAAGTAGAGGAGTCTCTCCCGTTCTGTACCTCTGGTCCTCTCTTGTGCAGCACGAGATTTAGCTTTATTTACTGATGGGCCTGAGTGAGAGAACAGAGTTATCCAAAGACTCCACATTGCAGCTGATCAGTCATCAGGAAGCATGCATGATCTTACTGTCTAGGGCCAGCTTAACATTCAGAAGTGTGCTTCTGCTCAGCTGTTAATAACTGTCAGCCCCAACAAAGGCACTGGTAGATGAATCCCCATCAGTCTTAAGTAAGGCTCAGTTTAAGTCTGCCTTTAAGGACTACACTATACGCATGCATTTTCAAATTCAAGAGGACAGTGCTTGGACCATCCTTGCTGCAAGGCAAGATAGTTTCTCCAAATGCAGGAACAGTGACCCGCAGGAGGTTTGCTGCTTCCACCCACCATCCTGTCCCCAGGCTGAACCATGCTAATCATGCTGCTCTTGGGGATCACAGGGGCCCAGCAGCCACCTTCACAAAGCCCAGCAAAGTGCAACCCTGTGGGCCAGGCTGCACTTGCTTCAGTTCAGCAAGCCCACAACAGTGAGCCTGCAGTGCCACCAGTCAACCTTTGTTTTCCAAAGGACAGGCCACTATGATGAGAGGAGGCAGATTCAAGTGCTGCTTTTCATCTCTACAAGCCTTTCCACATCATGGAAAGTCCAGAGTCAGCTATTTTTGTTTGAAGTGTGGTATAGAGCAGACTGTCACATCTTACCTATGTAACTAAGCAGAACTGGAAGAAATATCAGTCCATGTGTTGCTCCCAGCACAACCATAGCTAGATACATCCTGAAGTAGAATATCTTGAAGATTTGAGATTTGGAAAAAGCCAATACTACAATTCCTCCGAATTTGGTCAGTGTGATACCACTGAAAACCTGGCAATAAAGAAGGTGTTTAAGTGATAAGCAGGGGTTTAGGTAATCCATTTCCTTCAAGTATTTAGCATTTCTAAGTGTAATCTAAGGCTCCTATATCCTATATCTCCTGCACTGCCAGTCTAGAACCAAATCAAGATGCACTCAGGAGAAGAGATCATCCTTTTGGTCCCACAGGACAGGCTCAGTATGATTAAAAATCCACTCTGATCTGTGCAGGCACATAATTAATTTTTGCTTCAGGCAGATGGAAGTGAAAACCATTACTTAAATTAACTCACATTCCAGTGAAGCTCTGTACCTGGTGTGGTACACACATCACAAGAACTGTCCATTCCAACCCCATGCAGGTCACTTAGTCTAAGACGAGTGACTTGACAAGCACTGCCTAGCACTGAGCTCTGCTTGTTCTCTACAAGCTCCAACTGCATCCCATACTCACAACCACCTTTCCTAGTCACATCTGACTATCTGGAAGAGAAACACTTGAATTTTAATGGAACAATTTGAGGTTTATCCAAACTACTACTTCAGCTAAAGCATTTAGCTCTCCTCTACTATTAGGTAGTAACATCAGATTAAAAAGGAGTCTTCATCAGCCCTATTACTAGTAGAAGCCTATGCTGACCTTAACAGCTTAAAGCATTCCAAGAAGAAAAAGCAAGGCCATCTTTATGACTTAAGACTGTCACCTGTAACATTTCTTACAAAAGTAAGGCTGTTACTTGGCTACTCCTTTCCCCCTCCCCACCCAGCAGATACTCACTGAGCTGCCCATGTGAGACAGAGCTTCTTCCGCACGCTCCGCTCTACTGCCCTTGGTACTGACAGTGAACGCTCTTGTCACATGACTGCAGAATTCCACAGCGATACCACAGCTCTGAAGAGTGAAGGGAAACACGAGAAAATATCAGTTAGATGAGCACTTTAATGGCAAAGTCTCTACTCAGAATTCTGGATGGGCTAGAAAGATTCCTAGCAGCTGGTAGAGATGTCATCAGTGCTCAGGGCTGAAGTACCACAGGAAGTTACAAGTTTAGTGTTGCTTCCCAGAGGCTGTTGCAAAACTTGGAAACAGAAGAGGTTTTGTTGACTTACCATGACAAGATTTACTAATGAAACTGCATTCAAGCTGATGCCCCAGAGCCACATCACTCCAAACATGTTGACGATTATCATAGCAATAGTTATCGAAACCACAACAGCAGCCCATACTTCAAAACCAAGAAGCACAGTTGTCACCAGAAATATTGATCCCAAAGAGATGCAGAGGTTAAAGATAGCATCGTGCACAATTGTCAAGTATTGTTCATAGAAGACATAAAACACACTGTAGAAAAAAAAAGAGGTTGTCATTAGCCATCTTCCCCTTTATATGCCAATATTAGATTAGCTTCTGTGCTAAGGATAAAGTAGTTCCCCCGACAGAAGTCACCAACAGAACCTGGCTTCCTTGTGTCAGTGAAATGTCATGTAACAGCCAGCATTCTGTAGGAGTTAATTCCTCACTAACACTTCACATAAAAATCATGGTCTGGAAGTCAGTGTAATTCCCATATTTCAATATAAGCATCTACTGTAGATACCAGAAGGTGGGTGCTCATATCCATTTTGATACCTGCAGGAGCTACTGCAGATGGACAGGTAGGATTCTCTGATGCAGAAATCAGTATTTCAGATGTACAGATACCAGCTCCAACTCGATTTTAGTGTGGTACTTGTTGGGAAGGTAGAATTAGATAAGGGTACTCCTATACTTGACATTGCTGCTGCATTTGCTTTATATTTAAATAACTTATTTAAAGTCAAAACATTCACATCACAGCTTGCAACTACCCATGTCAACATATCTGCTTATGTTTGAACTATTAAACCCTATTATGAAAGCTAGGAAATGCCCAAAAATGGAGTCAGATCTACCTTTGTAGTGAAGGATTTAAGTTAGTTATCAATGACATAAGAAGCTAGTGCTATGGATACAAATTATATCTTCCTAGTTTTACTAGAAATCCTCAAGTTTCTGCATTACCTCCTGTTAGACAAATCTCAGATTCCTAAAATGTTATTAGCCAGCACTTTTTATGTGTTGCTCAAGTGTTTGTCATCAAGTCAAGAAAGATCTAACCATACCTGTAAGGAAACACCCGGTAGTTCTTCTCTTTGATGCCCATAGTTTCAGTAATATTGTCTGCTATAATCCGAGCTTTACTCATAGCATCAATAAAATCAGATGATGTTTTCAGTACAGTATGGTAAGTCATAAAATAAGTGGCTCCAACCTCAGTTTTGTTGTTTATGAAGTTGACAGCAGAATTATATGCAGCATGTCCTCTATAAAAACAAGTACATATCAGGTGTCAGCACCATTCAAATTTATTAGCTTTTATAACATATAATCCTATGGAATCATAGAATGGTTTGAGTTGGGAGGGAGCATAAAGATCATCTAGTTCCACCTCTGCCATGAGCAGGAACACCTTCCACTAGACTATGGTTGCTCACATCCCATTCCACCTGGCCTTGAACACTTCTAGGGATGGGGCACAGCTTCTCTGGGCAATCTATTCCAGTGCCTCACTGTCCTCAGAGTAAAGAATTCCTTCCTAACATCTAATCTAAACCTACGCTCTTTAATTTGAAAGCTATGCCTCCCTGTCTAGCACTACACCCCCTTGTAAAAAGTCTCTCTCTGGCTCTCTTGTAGGTGCCCTTTAGGGGGCTAAGAGCTGGTAGTTGTTTCCAGCAGTTTCCAAAACTATAAAAGCTTCAGAGCACAAGACATTTCAAGATTGCACAGGATATTCTAGAACAGACTGACCATAGATGTTGTCTCTCTTCGTACATGGGAAAGCTGCTGTTCCGTTTAGTTGATAATTAATCTGTTGGGTTTTTTTCTCAGAAAATAGTACAGAACTGGTGAGATGTCAATGTTTGTATAGCTTTTAGGAGGACATTAGGTATCTAACCTCCAGACAAAATCCAGAGCAAGCATCTTTAACACACTGGTCTAAGCAGGGCCTGTGGAATAAGGCTCTTACCCTTTGCCACATTTCGGATTAGGGTTGTCTGATAGGAACATTGGCAAAAAGGTCATGAAGTCTTCACCCTGTGGTCTCTGCTTGCCTTCTTGAGTCAGTGGTCGACAACGAGTGCAGGATGGATCGCTGACTGAAGAAATAGAGGAAGAAGGTCATCTATAGGATCAAGTATGCTTTTTCCTAACACTAGTAACTTCTGACTTGCATCACTGCAGGATGCAATTCCACTAAAAGCACATTTACTGAGGAACTAACTGATCCATCCTGAAATTCCATATAAGATTTGTAGTCCTTAATTTGATTTATTGCTACTAAAGCAAGGCCTGTCAGAGAACTCTTACTTGTGTATTTATCTGTTAGATCTGATGACAACTACACCCAGCTGAAGGAACTGAACAAAAGCAGAGCTCCAAGTTTGTGTGCTCTAAGAAAACCAACAGAAGGATCAGAATTTTTACAGCAAGTCACACTGGCTGTCTAGGTAGGCTGTTTTCAGTCTGCAGCATTCCAGTAGAATATTTAAGGTCACTCAAACAGCAGTTCAAATAAATTAAGAGAACAACTCAAGAGGTTCCTACTTACAGTAAGAAAAGGTATTTGCTTGACTCATACCATGAGAAAATATTTT